GCAGGACTGACTCTGGGAGATGGTGCTCATCTCCATTTCAAAGCGGAAGAGCCCGCATTGTCCTGTTGTTGTAGTTCATTCGACTCTTCGTGACCTCATGGACCAGCCCACGCCAGAGCTCCCTGTCGGCTGTCACCACCCCCAGCTCCTAAAAGGTCAAGCCAGTCACTTCAAGGATGCCATCCATCCATCTTGCCCTTCGTCGGCCCCTCTTCCTCTTTCCTTCCATTTTCCCCAGCATCATCGTCTTCCCTAAGCTTTCCTTTCTTCTCATGATGTGGCCAAAGTACTTCATCTTGGCCTCTATATCCTTCCCTTCCAGTTGAGAGCTTAGGCTTTAAATGGGTGCATCTGCGGAGCCTTCACCTCCTCAAGTCAGCAGCCACATCAGCGCGGTTTAAATCACGGCGCCACGGGGTGACGTAGACTAGCCTTCATAGAACATTCTGAAAACAAGAACCTTTGTCTTTTCTTTGCATCCTAAGCATTCTGGGAAGACCCTTTCAGTACTTTATCAATGATGGAAGAAGATTTTTTTGTAAATGCCAGCACAACTGTGAAAGTCAACCTGATGTCCAAAGAGTCCTATTACAAATATCTCCATGATGATGACCTGTTTTGCTCAGTGGTGGAAATCCCATACAAAGGAAGGGGCCTGAGGCTGTTAGGAATGATGGGAGTTGAAGTCCAAAACACCTGGAAGACCCAAGTTTGCCCATGCCTCTCCTACAGTGTAAATTCATCACCCCCCCCCCCCCCCCCCCCCCCCCCCCCCCCCCGCTCCGAATTGCCATCTCATTCATCAGAAATGTAGCTCTCGGAAATAGATCCAAACTTTCAGGAATATTCAGCGCAAACGGCAGTGAAATCTGTAAATCGGACCAGTGGGAAAAAATGTTCTGCATTGATAGCAGAAGCGGGTTTAGAAACAAAAACGGACCCCGAGGACGATTCCTTCTTCTGTTTCAGCGGCACTCCGCATTGGTCAGTTTGAGAGAGAAGTTCGAGTTTGCAGATCGAAAAAGTCTCCCCCAAAAGAGAAAAGGAGAAAAGAGAGAAGGAAGGGATATGGGAAGGGGAAAAAAAGAAACCAAGACCTTTGGAAGAACTGTTTTTGAACCGGAGACAGTGCTGTGGCTTTTTCTTCTCCCAAATTCCTTCTTTTCCACTCCCAATCCCTCATCCGCCCTGAAGCCCTGGCTTTCTCACCCTTGCAAACTTCGTTTTATCGGGGCAGAAATACTCCGGAGAGAGGAGCCCCCGGTGGCGCAGGGAAGAGCGTGGATGAGCTCCCTATGTCAGCTCCAGCTCCCCATGCGGGGACATGAGAGAAGCCTCCCACAAGGATAAAGTAAAGGTAAAGGTTCCCTTGACATTAAGTCTAGTCCAGTCCGACCCTGGAGGTTGGTGCTCATCTCAATTTCTAAGACGAAGAGCCAGCGTTGTCAGTATAGAATCATAGAATCAAAGAGTTGGAAGAGACCTCATGGGCCATCCAGTCCAACCCCCTGCCAAGAAGCAGGAATATTGCAGTAGACACCTCCTAGGTCATGTGGCCGGCATGACTGCATGGAGCGCCCTTACCGTGACAAAGTCTAGTCTAGTCCGACTCTTTGGGTTGGTGCTCATCTTCATTTCTAAGCTGAAGAGCCAGCTTTGTCCATAGACACTTCCAAAGACATGTGGCCGGCATGACTGCAGCGCCCTTCCCTTCCCGCAGGAGAGGTACCTATTGATCTACTCACATTTGCATGTTTTCCAACTGCAAGGTTGGCAGAAGCTGGGGCTAACAGTGCAAGCTCATCCTGCTCCCCAGATTCGAACCTGCGACCGTTCCATCAGCAAGTTCAGCAGCTCAGCGGTTTAACCCACTGCAGACGGCCAATTCTCTCACACCAGAAGCGACTTGCAGTTTTTCAAGTCGCTCCTGACACACACACAAAAGCTTTAGGAGGTCTTTAGCCTTCTCTGCCTAAGAATGCTGGTGCCTCCCCAAACTACAACTCCCAGGATTCCATAGCATTGAGCCATGGCAGTTCAAGTGGAGTCGAACTACATTCATTCTCCATGCTGGAGAGTCTCAGGGTTTGGGTTTGGTTGGCCATTTGGATTCGGGGTAAAAAAGGAGGCGAACTCTCTCCTTCTTGAAAAGTAGGATCATTCTGCGGGTCTAATAGAAGCCTCCCGGACTCTTCCTCTACTTCCAGTCCTACCAGGATGTATGGCATATCATCACCGAGAGTTCCCTTGAGCATGGGCAGAATGCCTTTTCACACTCCGCTTGGTAAAGAAGTTACCCTTAAAAGGATAGGTCTTGAATTCCTTGACACTTCTTAACCTTAGACCTAACTAGATGAGGAGGCTGACTTCGGATAAAAGTCCAATCCAAAATAATAATAATGATGATGATGATGATGATGATGATGATGATGATGATACCGATACATCACACAGTCCTAGACACTTGGGAAGTGTCCAACGCGTGATCCAATACAACAGCCAGAGTGATCTTGTCTGCTGTGGACACATCTTGTTGTGTTTCAAACAAATAATAATAATAATAATAATAATAATAATAATAATAATAGGTTTTCTTAGTGTCTGGATTTGTAGGATTGTTCCTGGGGTTACTCGAGGCGCTGGTTCATCAAATTGCATTGGATGGACCACAGCAGTTCTTTCTTAGATGGTTATGTTTGGAGGAGCAGATGGCGACTGGTAGAGGGCATATGCTCTGATTTCAAAGACTAGAGCTGAGACGGGAACCAGGAGGTCAAATATACCCAGAAACAGGTCTAGCATTTGGGGCTCATTTGGGTGTATCAGGAGCCAGCGTTGGCGAAATGAATTAATCCCTTGTCCCAGCAGGACTGCCGACCAAAAGTTCAAATCTGGAGAAAGGGGTGAGCTCCAGCCTGTCAGCTCCAGCTTCCCATACCGGGACATGAGAGAAGCCTCCCACAGGATGGTAAAACATCCTGGAGTCCCCTGGGCAACGTCCTTGCAGATGGCCAATTCTCTCACACCAGAAGCGACTTGCAGTTTCTCAAGTCGCTCCTGACATAAAAAAAATAATCATCATCCTTATTTAATATTTATACCCCATTTTTTCTCTCTAAAAAAGAAACTCAAAGCGGCTTACATTAATTGATCAAAAGTTCAACTGAGCATGCCTTTCCTTGACCAATCTGCACTGCTATATAAATCCGGTTTCTGAATCCAGATTACCTGCTTTGAAGTGGTTTATAGGAGTCAACGCTGCCATACCATCCACTTCAAAGCAGATAATAATAATAAAAATAATAAGTATGGATTGCCGATGTTCCAATCCCAGGTGACAGCAGGATTGAAGAGAAACAACTGGAAAAGCTGACACGATATGAGGATTTAAAGATCGAACTGCACAAGCCAGTCAAGGTGGTCCCAGTGGTGATCGGCACACTGGGTGCAGTGCCTAAAGACCTTGGCCTGCACTTAAACACAATAGGCGCTGACAAGATTACCATCTGCCAGCTGCAAAAGGCCACCTTACTGGGATCTGCATGCATTATTCGAAAATACATCACACAATCCTAGACACTTGGGAAGTTTCCGACTTGTGATCCAATACAACAGCCAGCAGAATGTCTGCTGTGGACTCATCTTGTGTTTCAAATAATAATAATAATAATAATAATAATAATAATAATAATAATAATAATAATAATAATAATAATATAACCCGCCCTCTCCCCCCGGAGGGACTCAGGGCGGTTAATCTGAATCCAGACATTCAATTATATGCCAGTATAGATCGAAAGCAAAAACTGGGACTCCCAAAAGACCTTTGCTTTGCTGAGTGGACGTTCCACATTGGAAAAGACGAAAAGGGGCGAGGAAATTTGCTCCCTTGTTCGTCTGGAAACTCACTTTCCTGCCCCTCTTCTTTCTTTCGTCCTGATCTTTGCCTCCAACACGCTCACACACTTCACCCACGGAGCACAGAATTCAAAGACCCGTGAGTCTGGAATAGAAATATCAATTTAACCGAGGGCAGGTCCCACATTTTCTGTTTCGAAAGCAAGGAGAGAAATTCAAGCCCTCAACCCACGGAAGAGGAAACGTACCTACCTACCGAGCTTCTTTTCGGTCTCAATGGGAGGAAAGCAGCCGGCCTGTTGCTTGTTTGGATTGAACAATCCCCCCACAAAAAAGGGGGGAGGGTTGGGTTTGTGGAAAAAAGTATATCGAGTTTCGACTGTCCTTCGAAACTCCCCTGGAGTCCAATCGCTTGGGATTTTAAGGAATGTATATTTTCCTCCCTATTTCCTCGGGAAAATGCTTCCTAGTCTAGGAGAAACTACTCGGAAGTCACTTCCACTGAACCCAGTCTCAGCAAAGTTTGGAAAAAGTAGGCTGCAGTTCTAACATCTCCAAGATTAAATTAAAAGCACACAAAAAATACTGGGATAGATAACTTGGTGGAGAAACTCGGCCCTCCAGGTGTTTTGGACTCCAACTCCCACCATTCCTAACAGCCTCAGGCCCCTTCCTTTTCCTTCCTTTCCCCCGCTTAAGCGGCTGAGGGGGGAAAGGAAAGGGCCTGAGGCTGTTAGGAATGGTGGGAGTTGGAGTCCAAAATACCTGAAGGGCCCAAGTTTACCCATGTGGTTCAGAGATCCCTAACATCTAAACAAGCTAAGTTAAAGCCAATGGGAGAGGACACTCTGCGTCCTACAGGGCATTTCTCCCCCCACTTTCGATGGGAGGGGAGAGACACAAAGATGTAAACAAGAGCTGAAACAAAGACGTAAACAAGAGTGGCCCTAGAAGAAGAAGCCGGCAGTCAAAGCTTCGAGGATTCTAAAGCGCGCCAACGAGTTAAAGGCACACAAAATTCGCCTATACTTGAGGATTTCTTTCGAAGTCTGGGACAGCATTAGGCTGGTTTCGGGGAACCCGTCGGTGTCGCAGCGCCCCCGCTGTCAATCAGTCAGAGGACAGGCCCGACACAGAAGACACACACTCACACCGCTTCTCCCCTCCTGTCTTTCGCCCTGTCAATCACAGCGGGAGTTTCTTTCCCTTCCCACTTTCCCAAACTACTTACTCCCCCCTCCCCCCCCTTCCCTATACTCCCCACACACTTTCTCCCCTTGCTCCGCCTCGGAGCAATCTGTCAACCGATCCAGGGAGCCACCTCAAAACAGATCGGGTTACTTTTGACCGACAGGCGCCGTCGCCATGGCAAATAATTTGATTAGAACTATTGTCTTCTCCTCGGCAGCCCCCCGGGTCGGGTAACCGGGCCAATCACGGCGCGGCTAATCACTTTTTCATGCTCGTTTGGAATAATATTATTGGGAAAGAGGAAGAAAGAGAGAGCGAGAGGGAAGGAGGAGGAAGAAAAGAAGAAGAAGAAGAAAAAGGGGGAGGAGGAGGAGTGGAAGAGGAGAGCCGGCAAAAGAGAAAGGAGAGGAGAGAGGAGACGAAGAAGAGGTGGAGACCAAGGAGAAGGGGGAGCTACGGGACTCCTCGGGGCGACGTTACATGTAAGCGATCCTATCGCGGAAGGGATCTGAAGGGAGGAGGAGGGGGGAAGGAGAGAGTGGGGGGGGGGGTTAAGAGAAACTTCACAAGTGGCGGAGAAGCTTGGAAAGTTCCGCTGTTTCTCTCTCGCAAAGTTGCTGCTCGGAACTTTGGGACTTACAAAAACCCATAAAGAAGATTCAAAGAAGAAGGGAGAAAGAAAAGAAGAGGCGAAACAAAGTGAAAGTGGGAGTTCAGCGGCCGCCTGGGATTTCGGCTCCAATCGAAGACTCGACTCTACGCCCGGCAGGACTGAGCCCGAGGGTTCCATTTGCAAATTAGCAGCTAAGCGCGCTCTGTGGTTGGCTGCCCCCCGGCGAAGCCCTTTCCTCATTGGCAGAGACGCGCCCGACTGCCCCCATTCTCGGGCTTTGGTGAAGATTCCATGCCCAACGGGGTTTTACCCGAGGGGTCCATTTGCTGGTGAGGATTCTACGACTGGCGGGACTGTGCCCGAGGGTTTCGTTTGCAAATTAGCCTCCGGGCGCGCTCTGTGGTTGGCTGGCCCCGGGAGAAGCTCTTTCCCTATTGGTGGCGGCGCGCCTCAGTTGCCCTCTTCTCTGCGTTCTACCGCCTCCCCGCGGTTGCCCCAGGGCGCTTGGGGGTTTGTCTGAGGACGTCCGCGCCCTTTAATCCGGGACAGATGCGCTAAGAGAGGGCGGAGGCAGCCGGAGCGGGGCCTAGGGCGGCCCCCACCCACCGAGGCCACCCCACCCACGACCATGTCCATGCTGCCCACGTTTGGCTTCACCCAGGAGCAAGTGGCGTGCGTGTGCGAGGTGCTCCAGCAAGGCGGCAACATCGAGCGCCTGGGCCGCTTCCTGTGGTCGCTGCCGGCCTGCGAGCACCTCCACAAGAACGAGAGCGTCCTCAAGGCCAAGGCCGTGGTGGCCTTCCACCGGGGCAACTTCCGCGAGCTCTACAAGATCCTGGAGAGCCACCAGTTCTCGGCCCACAACCACCCCAAGCTCCAGCAGCTCTGGCTCAAGGCGCACTACATCGAGGCCGAGAAGCTGCGCGGAAGGCCGCTGGGCGCCGTGGGCAAGTACCGCGTCCGCCGCAAGTTCCCGCTGCCCCGCTCCATCTGGGACGGCGAGGAGACCAGCTACTGCTTCAAGGAGAAGAGCCGCAGCGTGCTCCGGGAATGGTACGCCCACAACCCCTACCCGTCGCCGCGGGAGAAGCGCGAGCTGGCCGAGGCCACCGGGCTCACCACCACCCAGGTCAGCAACTGGTTCAAGAACCGACGGCAGCGCGACCGGGCCGCCGAGGCCAAGGAAAGGTAGGCCAAGGAACGGAGGGAGGACGGCAGGGAGGGTGGGTGGGAGGGAGGGAGGAAGGAAGGGCTCGCTTCCGCCTGGGTTGATTTGGGGGACCACTCTGAGCCTCCTTTAGGAAAGAAAAGCGGCTACACATAAGTATCATCACCATCGCAATCACAATACCAAGACTATTAAGAAAAAAAGAACACGACCTGCCAGGAACCTCAGAGAGGGGAAATATAGAATCTTAAAGTTGGGAGAGACGCAAGGACCTTTCAGCCCAACTCCATTCTCATTCAGAAACACCTAGTTTTTGAATTTTCTTTAGGAGAGAAAAAAGGAATAGCAACAACAAAACAACAACAAAAAGAAAAATAATGATATAATAAAAGAGACCTGGCCTTCCTTTCCCCAAGGAACCTTAGAGAGGGGGGAGCATAGAATCTTAAAGTTGGGAGAGACGCAAGGACCTTTCAGCCCAACCCCATTCTCATTCAGAAACACCTAGCTTTGATTCTTCTTTAGGAGAGAAAGCGGAATAGCAACAACAACAACAACAACAACAACAACAATCTAATGAAAGAGGGGCCTGGCCTTCCTTTCCCCAAGGAACCTTAGGAAGGGGAAAGCATAGAATCTTAGAGTTGTGAGAGACCATAACGGCCTCCAGATAAGGAGACTCCAATCCACTTAACAGTTCTTACCATCAGGAAGTTTTTTCTAACGTTAAGGTGGAATCCATTGTGTCTTAGTCTCCAGAGCAGCAGAAAAATAAGCTTGTCCCCACACTGTGACACCTTTTCAAAGATCGAAACGTGGCTATCAGGTCCCCTCTCAGGGCCCTTCCACACGGTCCTATATCCCATAATATCAAGGCAGAAAATCCCACATTATCTGTGTGTGAACTCAGGCAACCCAGTTCAAAGCAAATATTGTGGGATTTTCTGCCTTGATATTCTGGGATATAGGGCTGTGTGGAAGGGCCCTCAGCCTTCTTTACGCCAAGCTTCATCAGCCCGTCCTCTGGGCTTGCCTTCCAATCCCTTGGCCGTTCTAGCCTCCCTTCTCTGGGCACCTTCTCGCTTGTCCATCTCCTTCTTGAATCGTGGTGCCCAGAACTGGACGTGGTGTTACTCCAGGTGAAGGATGGCCAAAGCTGAAGAGAGTGGGACTAAGACTTTTTCCGTGTCCCAAGCCCCTTCCACACAGCTGAATAAAATTCCACATTATCTGCTTTAAACTGAGATATATGGCAGTGTGGACTCAGATATTTCACTTCAAAGCAGATATTGTGGGTTATTCTGCCTTGATATTTTGAGTGATATGGCTGTTTGGAAGGGCCCCTAGTCCTAGAACAGCAAGTTACTCGTTTGGGATCCCAACTCCTAGGAACTTTCAGTTCCGAGTCCTCCTAGGAAACTTAATCTCCAAAAATGAAACTTTCCCACAGATCTTTCTGGGAAGTGTCTCAAACAAATAACCTTTTCCTGAGCCTTCTTTTAAATTTGTAGTTTCAAACAACTGTTATCCGCTTGCTTCTGGGAGTTGTGGCTTCAAATAACGTTTCCCCGGCTCTTTTTAGTCTCAGAAATAACTCTTCCCCTGGTTCTTTCTGAGAGTTGCATCAAATCACGTCAATCCTGTAATATTTGGAGTTGTAGTTTCAAAGATACCACGTTTCCCGGGAGTTGTAATGTCAAGGAAGTAACGTCTCCCCAAACGTTTCTGAAAGTTGTGTCATATAACTTTTGCCCGGCTCTTTCTAGGCGTTGTCATCCCGAAGAACTAACTGGCTCCCTCGGCGCTCTTTCTGGGAATTTTCGTCTCAGACGAAGAGGTTCTCCCCAGCTTTTTCTTGGAGTTATTGTAGGTTCAAACAAGCCCACCTCCCCAATTTTGGAGTTTCCGTCCTAATTCAACTCCAAGTTTCCCTGCATCTCATCGACCGCAGTTAAAGTCAAGGAAGATTTGAGAGCGCGCGGAATTTAAATAATAATAATACTTATTATTATTTGAAACGCTCAAAGATTAGTACACAGCAAACAAGGTCACTCTGCTGGCTGTTGTATTGGATCACACGTCGGACACTTTCCAAGTGTCTAGGACTATTATTACTATTACTATTACTATTACTATTACTATTATTACTATTATTATTTACTTCGAAGACTGAGCTCTGAGGGTTGAGTCCGCCATAGCGCTCTCGGTCCCCAATAGTTCCTCTCAAGTACGAATAGCCGAAAGGAAAGTCCCTTTAAGAAGGAAACTAGTTCCGTCTTCGTTTTCCGAAGGACAGCTTAAGCCGTTGCCTTAAAAACGAGCCTTTATTATGTAGGAAACTTTTCTGAATGTAAAGTAAGTCGTTCAGTTCTCGCTCCAGATACAGTTGATGAACTTTTCAAGGACCGATTTCTAGACCTAATAATAATAACAACAATAACCATAACAATACAACAGCCGGCAGAGTGATGTTGTCTGCTGTAGACTCATCTTGTTGTGTTTCAAATAATAATAATAATAATAATAATAATAATAGACTCTGGCACAAGCCGGTAAAAGTGGTCCCAGTAGTGATCGCACACTGGGTGCAGTGCCTAAAGACCTTGGCTTGCACTTAAAAACAATATGAGCTGACAAAATTACCATCTGCCAGCTGCAAAAGGCCACCCTGCTTGGATCTGCACGCATTATTCGCCTATACATCACACAGCCCTAGACACTTAGGAAGTGTCCAGGTGGGATCTAATGAAAAAGTCAACATAGTGTTCGCTGTGTACTAATCTTGTTATGTATATAATAATAATAATAATAATAATAATAATAATAATAATAATAATAATAATAATCTGAGGGGGCGAATTTCGACTCAGATTCTAAATCACGTCTCTGAAATAATAATAACAACAATAACAACAACAACTATTATTCTTATTAATATTCCTCCCTCTCTCCCCGAGATGATTAATTGGAACGAAATGTCCTGGTGTTTAAAGTGACCAGAAGAGACGGGTTCTAGCTATTCAAGGGAGGCCTCAATGAACCCGGTCATTTTCTTTCTCTTCTTTTCACTGTCATGATTCCCGTTTAGTAGAAATGGCTTTCATAGGTAATAAAACACTAAATAGCTCAATCACTGAGCTTTGCAGAAGCAGGAATCCCTTTACTTATTGCAGCAAAACTCATTGAATCGTGTCAGGAATGTTGACTGAACTTTTAAGTAAATCCCTTTATTTTATTTTATTTGTGTCGAGAGCGACTTGAGAAAGTGCAAGTCGTTTCTGATGTGAGAGAAGATGCCCCGGATGTTTTTGAGGTTTTACCATCTTTGTGAGGGGCTTCTCGCATGTCCCCGCATGGGGACCTGGAGCTGACAGAAGGAGCTCATCCACGCTCTCCCGTTGGTCTTCAGACCTGCGGCAGAAGGGTTTAACTCGTTGCGCGACCGGGGGGCTCCAATTCCCATTGACTGAATGAGTTTGCTTTAAGTATAACTAGCAGCGGGATTAAAATCAGCAAGACACCCAAAAACGACTGGGTGGAATAATACTTTAATTTGACCTCCTAGCTCAGGCCTGGGCAAACTTGGGTCCTCTCTCCAGGTGTTTTGGACTTCAACTCAGGCCCTTTCCTTTTCCTTACCTTTTCCGCTTAAGGCCCCCACCCCCTCCCCCCATGAGATCAGGGTATGATCCATTCTAGCTCTACCGATTTTAATGGGAGAGATGAAGGGACCATTGCAACTCTCTTGATTTCAACGGGAACCGTGTAGGGAAGCCATGTAGAGTCACTGATTTCAATGGGACCAGTGTAGGAACCTGGTGGAAATTGGGTCCACCTGGGTCCAGATTATCTGCTTTGAACTGGATTATATGGCAGTGTATACTTATATAATCCGGTTCAAAGCAGATAATGTGGATTRTGTGCTTTGATAATTTGACAGRATGGTGACACATCCCGTAGTCCCTGGGTAAAGCCTCTGCAGACGCTAATTCTCTCACACCAGAAGCATAATAATAATAATAATAATAATAATAATAATAATAATAATAATAATAGAGAAACAACTGGAAAAGCTGACACGATATGAGGATTTAAAGATCGAACTGCAAAGAGWCTGGCACAAGGCAGTCAAGGTGGTCCCAGTGGTGATCGGCACACTGGGTGCMGTGCCTAAAGAGCTTGGCCTGCACTTAAACACAATCTGCGCTGACAAAATTACCATCTGCCAGCTGCAAAAGGCCACCTTACTGGGATCTGCACGCATTATTTGAGGATACATCACACAGTCCTAGACACTTGGGAAGTGTCCGAAGTGTGATCCAATACAATACTGTGGACTCATCTTGTTATGTTTATAATAATAATAACAACAACAACAACAATAATAATCTTGGAACTTCCGAACTGTGAGAGCTGTTCAGCAGTGGAACTCTCTACGCTCGAATTGTGGTGAAGGCTCCTTCTATGGAGGCTTTTAAACAGAGGCTGGATGGCCATCTGTTGGGCATGCTTTGAACTAGATTGTCCTGCTTCTTGGTAGGGGGTTGGACTGGATGGCCCACGAAGTCTCTTCCAGCTCTATGATTCTATGTGTTGTGGAAGGCTTTCCACCGGAATCACTGGGTTGTTGTGAGTTTTTCGGCTGTATGGCCATGTTTCAGAAGCATTCTCTCCTGACCTTGCGCCTGCCCCTCTGAGGATGCCTGCCATAGATGCAGGGGTAACTTCAGGACAGAATGCATCTGGAACATGGCCATACAGCCCTGAAAACTCAGAACAACTCAATTATCTGGATGATATGGCAGTATAGAAGGGGCCTTGATGTCACAAAAACAAAGTTCTGTGAAACTGATGCCCAATGATCAAGTGATCAAACCACCATCCTGGTCAGTAAACTTTGAGACCATAGTTATGATCCCAAGTACATTCAACCAATTTCTTAGATTTTGCTTGGATGCCAGTTTAAGAGAGTTCTCATCTCTCCTCCCAACCCTCTATTTGGATCTGGATCTTTCTGACA